CAGGCCAAAATAAAATAAAACTATACCTTTGTTCAAATATGTTTACCTAAGTGTATCGTGTGCAGTTACTTTTTTAGTCTAAAATTATTATTTTCCTACATATTGAATTTTTCTAGCAAAACGTTACAGAAGATAAAATCTTGCATTTTGTCTAGTTATAGAACCTGGACCTTATGGCTTATTTGCCACTATGCTAATTTGTGCTGCATTTATTGCATTGGTCAATATGTAAATGAGATGTTGAGTCAGTGTTTTCTAATTCGGGTGTGTTTAAAATTGCACAGTAAATCGTCCACAGAAACGCTACGCTCATCATTTTGAAATTGCGCTTTCACGCAAATTGGCCTTTTTTGTGCACAAACACATAAATACAGCAGCTAATGTAGTAATGTTTAAATACAGTGAAATCTGTCTGAATTTTCATAACATACTGTATGTGCAAAATAATTAGAGGTTCATTCTGAAGCATTTTCATAAAACTGTCCCAAAGTGCAAAACTGACAACACAATCTTCAAAATCACCCACATGCATTCACTAGTGGAAACACAAATGTACACAATACCATACTTTTTTTTAAAAGATACATACAATGAAAAATAAGCAGATTCTCTACTTTAGGGTGAATTTTGGCATACTGAGCCACTTCATATTTCACCATCAAATCTTTTGTTCATAAATTGCTACAAAAATTTGCCACTTAAATCATATATATTTTTTAAATGTTATAGCTCAAGTTACCTGTTTTTCTTTTTCTATCAGCAAATATTTAAGCACATTCATGTCAACAAAAAGAAAATATGAAGGTAAGAATTACTTACTTTACAATTTCTCTCGACAGTATAAGTGCACTTCCTGTAACAATATTGTTGCTTTGGAAAAGCAGACACAAAAAACCGGGGTCATTTTATAAATATAGCTTTAAAGCGATTATTCAAATACAAATATCGCTGCAAGCACACCCGATTAGCCGATTTAAGAATACTGTTACAGTTTTTTGGCTTCCTTGACAAACTTTAGTGCCCTCAGAAAGGTTTTGGACTTGAGACAAAAAACAAGCGTAATTAATTATTTTTATTAAAAGAAATAAGCTATAAATATTTCTCTGATACCTTTAAAACTTAAACCTGTGTATAAATATGTACAGCCTGTAAGTAAAATTAGAGGGGGGGGCAATATTTCACATCCTATTATCTAATTTCTTCAGGAGCAGTGCCAATATGATCATTAATGGCACAGAACTGAAATATTTGCCTTGTAATAATTCTAGTGTTTCAGTCCAAATACCTTTGAAGGGCACTGTTTTTATTCATTTCTCCAGCAATGGAAAAAGCCTGTACCAAGTGCAAAGGATCCGTATCCTTAAGGTTATTACTGTCATAACTTAATATATTGTAGGCCAACTATTATCTTACAAAGCAGTGACAAATAAATAGGAGAAATGTGTACATATAATTGTTTATCTTCTGTAAAGAAAGGACTGCTATCCATCTGTACAACTGCTATCTATGCATTTACATTGCTCAAATGTGCATTCCAATTGTGACCCTGGACCTCAAAATCAGTCATAAGAGTCTTTTTTTTTTTTTTTGAAAACTGAGATTTATACATCATCTGAAAGCTGAATCCGCTTGTTAAGTGGTGACGTGTTTGTGACGTATGTAATACTGTTTCCGGGTCCAAGCCGCCATTTATTTGAGTGGAGAAATCATTTGTTTATGATCACGTTTTATTCCTATCACACATTAAAGTTAATTTTACATAAAGTCATAGTGTACACAACAATCTTTGGGCTTGCTGCATAACAAATACCAAAAATCTTACAATTTATAAAAAAAATTATCAGTTTCTGGCCATCGGATATTAGGCATGGACATATATACTGCAATCGTGATTTTTAGCTTTTTAAACGTTTATTATTACCATTTCATAAGTCTCCCCATTTAGTTGAATAGTGTGCTTGGACCCGGAAGCCGCTTGGCGTGACATCACTTAACAAGTGGATAAATATGTTTTTTATTAATGTATGGTTTGTTAGAATATGACAATATTTGGCAAAAATACAACAAGGAGAATGTCTGAAAGAAAAAAAAAAGTCCTGAGATTGTCCAAATTAAGGTCTTAGTAATGCCAATGCTATCTCACAGCAATTCGTGACCTTGATTTAGTGGCTAATTTGTATGATCTCATTTGTACATTTTAGTACGATTTGCTTATTCCACACTGACAGTTTGGTTTAGGGGTGGGGTTTGATGCCACTCCTCCCCCTTTTAACATTAAAATGGTCGTGCCCAACTGAGTCTGGTTCCCTCAAGGTTTTTTTTCTTCACTCCCATCAGGTGAAGTTTTTTTCCCTCTCCGCTGTCGCCACTGCCTCGCATGGTTCAGGATTGGTAGAGCTACGCATCGACGAATTTGCTCTTCAGTGTTTGAACTCTCAGTAATGATTAAATCACACTGAACTGAGCTAAACTGAACTGAACTGAACTTAAACACTAAAACCTGAACTACACTGTTCCAGTTACTATGACCATTTATGTAAAGCTGCTTTGACACAATCTACATTGTAAAAGCGCTATACAAATAAAGCTGAATTGAATTGAATTAAATTAAATTTTTAAAATTGTACTTTTTCATTCGGCCGAACTCGACAAATTTGTACGAACTAGACACTAAATTGACAAAACGTAAAATAGCTATATTTTCTCATGAGATCAGGTTGGTAATGCAGAGTTTTGATATATTTACGGTGGGAAATTTAATATTCTAAGGATTTTTGATAAAAGAAAAGTTGATCATTTTGACCCATTTTTGACAATTTATACATATACACTTGTCCGAATTAACACTTTTTGTGTGGTCCATGGTCACAATTTGAAGTAATTATCCTATAATCCTAAACAACAACATTATCTCACTTTTTTCACTCTATATTCCATTAAAAAAAAAAAACATATCCATGCCAATAACATAACGCTTCACTTCATCAAGCCCTTACAGACTAAATATGCAAACAGAAAATATAGTCACTAATTACAACTTTAATATAAGATTCAGCAAAACTAAAATCATAAAAGCGTGAGCAAAAATGCTTTGTTTTGACAGTCCACTTCAGACAATTTTTTCAACTACACTTCATCTAACTCTTAAAGAGTATATAGATTTAGTATATTATAAGGCTGGGTTCAAGATTAGGAATAAGAATTAAAACAATAAGCAAGCATGTAGTTGCAAACATACTAATAGTTAATGGAATGTACATTGGGTCAATCAAAATAAAGCAGATATCAAGAAAATACTCTAATGACTGCTGGTTGACATGAAGTTACTTACAGTTAATGAATGAAGTCTAATTTCACAGTTAAAACACACACAAATGGTTCTTAAACTCCTTTTACCATTCTTCCATCCCATCATTATAGTTTGTATTGAATGATTTGAAGATGCAATGTTTTGCACTTCGGTACAGTCCTTTAAAAAGGCATCAAGGAAATGTCTTAAAGAAAAAAACTGTAACAAGAAAGTTGATGTGGCCAGTTCATCACATCAGACCCGCTTTACACTGTTTCATCCTTCCCACTGCACCAACATGCATTGATCCTCAGCATACAGCGTAAAGATCTACAAATCTATTATATGTGCGCGGATATAGAAACAATGCAAGGTGTGATCACTGAGCTCACCACAGAGTAGATCTCCAGTCTCCGGCAGTGCTCACAGTGGTACGTGTCCTGACGGTAAGGCAGATGACGAGACAGAAGCCCAAGAACAGCAGTGGAGAACGCAGCACTGACCAGATGAGCAACTAGGGTGGCTTTCACCTTGAATGGGGCAGAATTTACAACATAAGACATTTATTTTAATCTGTTGAAAATATACAAAGTGCAGTATAACTACGCAGCATTAAGAAAAGAGTGATATAATAGCGATCAGCATCAGTCAAAAAGTTGACACACCTTTCTTTAGAGGGCACCTATTTTACCTCTTTTACAAGATGTGAGATAAGCCTTTGGTGTCTCCAGAATGTGTCTGTAAAGTTTCAGCTCAAAATACCCATCAGATTATTTATTACATATTGTAGAATATGTACATTTAGGTGTCTGAGGATATTGTAGCTGTTTTTGTAGTCTGTGGCTTTAAATCTAAATGAGCTGCTTCTCCTTGCCCACCACTCCAATGTGCGTGTTTGTTTCTCATGCGTTACCCCAGATAAACAGCTGTCAGTGATAGAGACAGACACAGATGAAGCTAAAACAAGGTCACAAATACCAAGTAAGTTTTATTTTTAATGTATTTGTGATGGAGTCTATTCAAGCCTTTCTGCAATGATGAGTCACACACAAATGTGATTTGCTGTACACACACACACACACACACACACACACACACACACACACACACACACACATATATGCGTGTTTACTGACACTATGCAGCTGTGTTGATTATATTGGTTAAGAATTACATATAGGTTTTACTATCTTTATTACAAACATGCACTTAATTATTGAGGTGCAGCTGATCACAGTGAGTTGTAACATGTTTTTATCCCAGTTTTTTTTTTTTTTTGCAAAAAATGTTCTGTGAACATGTGTATACATGTTATTATGAAGACAAGGCACCTGCTAAACAATTTGGTGGGCAGGGAAACCACACTCCTACGTCACCTTGTGGTGGGCCTCAAAATCACTGGGATTTGGATCCCATTTTAACGTCAGTTAATTTTTAAAAATATCATTTCAATATGACAGGGATTTACTGTATATGAAGAAACTAACCAACACAAAACAAGGCAAAACAAAACTCAACTAAAGGTAAAAAGAAGCAAAACAAAAACAAATATCAAGACACAAATCAAAGCAAAACAAGCAAAGCTGTTTCAAACAGAACAAAAGTAAATAAAAAAGCAAAAAAGGAAACAAAATAATTGCAAAATGAAGAAAATAAAACAAATGCAAAGCCAAGCAAAAGGAACATTCATGAAAAGTCAAATGTCATGCAAAATAAAACAAAATACAAAACAAAATAAAAGAAAAAGAAAACAGCAAAACAGAAAAAGAGCTAAGCAAACAAAAACACAGCTAACAGCTAAAACCTAAGCTAAAGAAAACTAAACAAAATGCTAAGCAAAACATAATGAAACACAAAAACAAAACAAAACAAAAATACAAATGCCAATTAAAAACATAAATGCATAAATAATCATGTAAAAAAAGACAAGCACAACGACATGCAAAGTAAAACAAACTCAATTCAAAGTAAAGCACAAATCCTTCAGGAAAATCTTTAACAGGCACAACAAATTTAAGAAACACTGATTTAGTCAACTGTTGGGTGGGTTTATAGTTAGTAGGCAGGTAGATTTATTGGTTCTGCAACTCTGAACTTGTACTCACCCAGAATAGAGATGGGAATCTTCCAGCATGGATTAAAATGGATCCAGACACAAACAGCTAAAAAACAACGGGTTAGAGAATTACGGAGGTTTCCAACATCCACAGTAACAACTACATTCACAACAGATTAAATGGCAAGTTTTAATAAACTTGTGCAAATTGAATGTACCTGAACAACAATCACAATTACAACAATGACGTCAGGAGAGAAGTGGATCTCTTCGTAGAGCTGAAGAATGGTGATGCTCAGACACAAGCACAGCACGGCAATGATGATCTGAATGGACTGTGAATAACAGAACATGGTTAGTAATCATAATATGATGTCCAAACAAATAGCAGAAATTTGATAACAAAAATATAATCACTTTTGTTTGATATCAAAGATTTAGTTTGGGGGCCAATTCAACAGTTTTGGAATTTAAATTTAGTAAGATATTGTTTTCTAAAATTTGCTATTTTTCTCAGGCTCCTGTGTGTAGGTTTAGTGTTTATGGTGAACTTTTATGGTGAAGAACGTGCTCTTTCATTGTTTAAAATGAAATAACTGAAAAGAAATAGAAGCCTGAGAGAAATACTCATTTTTACAGGTTTCAAGTCAAATTTAAGACTTCAGATTTCAGGCCCAGTTAAAGCATTAAAAAAACATTAAAAACAATTGTTTTTGTGAGAAAGATAATTAAATCATATGTTTATAAATATAAATAAAGTTGGTAAATAGGGTTAAGTTATTATGGTAAGGGTTATTAACTTTTGTCGGAATGATAGTGATCGAATGGGTGTTGGCCCGATTAGGTAGCTTTACATGGACAGAAGAAAATTAAGACCTGTTTAAAAAGATTTAAGTCCTACAACACAATATTTACATAAATTTAAGACTTTTAATTACTTTTTAAGAACCAGTGGATACTCTGTTCAAAAGAAAATTTGAGATGGCACTAAAAGGTTTAGAAGTCTTCAAAAAAAAAAAAAAATTATATTTTCTGGTTATTCAAATGTACTTTGTTGGTCATATCTACCTTTTTTCATGTGACTAAAGTGTTTATAATTATGGGTTGTTCTTCCAATTTAGGGAATTTAAGTTTAAAATAACTGAAACAAATGACTTCAAATAAAAAAGTTGTGTTATAAATAATAATAATACACATGGAGAAAATAGGAGGTAAGACTGGCTTTGTGCTTATTTTTTCCTAAAAACAACACTAAGCTTAGAATTAGAATATGACATGAGTATCATAAGCATATCTGTGCACTTTTACGTAAGTTCACTATTGTGTTTCTCCAGATTATTTTCCCTTTGTATTCCCAACAGTATGATAATATTTAATATATGTCTGTAATATTACTCTGGACAGACTCTTGGGGGGGTTTTATCGTCTGCTAAAAGTAATTTGTTAATTCTAAGTAGAATTTTATTGAATAATGGCAAACCATTGTATTCATTTTTTCCTTTTATAATACACTACCTGACAAAAGTCTTGTCCCCTATCCAAGTTTAAGGAACAACAAAAAATAACTTCTAGATAACCTCTAGATTATGCTTATTTTTACCTAAATAAAACATGAGCCTGCCTTGATTTTGAATGATTAGTTATTTTATTATTTAGGACAGTAAGGTCTGACTTTGCTAAGACAACGGTCTTGTCACTTAACAGAAATAATGTACAGTATAGAATATAAAGTCATGGTGCAGTGGAAAAAGAATTAATATTGTGTATGACTCCCATGAGCTTGGAGGACTGCATCCATACATCTCTGCAATGACTCAAATAACTTATTAATAAAGTCATCTGGAATGGCAAAAAAATGTGTTCTTGCAGGACTCCCAGAGTTCATCAAGATTCTTTGGATTCATCTTTAATGCCTCCTCCGTCATCTTACTCCAGACATGCTCAATAATTTTGATATCTGGTGACTGGGCTGGCCAACCGTAGAGCAACTTGACCTTCTTTCCTTTCAGGAACTTTGATGTGGAGGCTGAAGTATGAGAAGAAGTGCTATATAGCCCCTATATTGAATGTAACCCCAAACCATGATTTGTCTTCTACCAAACTTGACAGATTTCTATGAGAATCTTGGGTCCATGAGGGTTCCGATAGGTCTTCTGCAGTATTTGTGATGATTGAGATGAAGTTCAACAAATGAGTCATCTGAAAAATCTACCTTCTGCCACTTTTCCAGTTGTTCAACTAAGTCAAGTAGTTAATTGTTAATCTTACAACTGGGACCAACGATAAGACTTTTGTCTGGTAGTGTACTTCATTGATTGTTTACAGTTTAATGGAAAGAACACCTTTAACAGACTAAACGCAACATGAACCATAGAAAAATGCCAAATGTGCAATTCAATGGCTTGTGTGAAATAACTGGTCCTCTAATATAGATATTGATATGTTGTTATATAACTCACCCCCAGAGCTTTGGGCTCCACACTTTGAAAGGTCTTGACCTGCCGTGGCATCAGGTTTCCTGCAGGGCGACTCGGGCCCTGACTCTCAATGCCCATGCTGATGTCAGTCAGTTTGAGGCCTGGTTAAATGCTAAAATCACAATCACAGAGACACCGTTTCAGATAAGATGTGAAAGAACAGCTGGTTATTAAGATGAAAGTTGAACTGAGTGGGAAACTAGATTAGATAGATGATAATACAGGGCAGAATGAAAACAGATGAGATGGACAAAAATATAGATGAATGAGCATTATAATCAAATTTACCCATGCTCATGCGATCTGTTGTGCCTGAAAGTCCATTAAAATGTAAATGTTTTTTAAAGAAATCATACAGCATTGTAAAATGTGATTGGTTGACTTTACTTATGGAATGAGTATAAGCCTGTTTTCTTAAACTTATTTAATAAGTGAACTATGTACATATCTATAATAATTAAGTCAACTAAGAGGTTCAAAAAACAAGATAGTAACAAAATTGCCATCTTATTTCAGGCATAAATGTAACAACAATCATATAATTGCTTTTCGGTTGAATATTAATAAGCTATGAACTACAATGAAAAAGTGGTTATAAGCAAAAATCATTAAATAAAACATTTAAAAAAAGATGCTAACTCTACATATTTATAGCGTCATATTTATTTATCCATAAGAGGCTAATCACATTAATAAAACTAATCATTTTTACATTAAATAAAAAATGCACTTAAGTACATTCATATTTAGGTTAGTTTTTCTTAACCATTTCAATATAATGGTGGTCAGTGAGCAATTGTATTAATCAAAGATATTCTGATCTTTTAAAAACAGGTAACCATTGACTTTCACATCAGGAAAAACAAATAGTAAAGAAATCAGTGGTTATAAGTTTCCAGCTTTCTTCAAAATATCTTCAACAGCAACAGAAACTTGAATAGGCTTGTGACAAGTAAAGGGTGAGTAAATTACTTTTTTTTTTTTTTTTTGATTGACCAACTAGCAATGTTTAAATGATCTACTTGTCATTTAGTGTAAATGATCAACTAGTGAACTAATGATCTACTAGTCAACTATAAATGATAAACTAGTAATGTAATGTAATATTACATTATTACACTAATATTTTGTTATATAATATTACATTACATGTAGTAAAATTCAATCCCTGTTTATTCATCCCACTGCTGTTCCAAACCTGGGTAACGTTTTTGAGAAATGAAGATACTTTGAAGAATGTTGGCAACCAAATTGTTTTGGCTTGCATATAAAGAGGAAGAACAAAGTAAAAAAAATCAATTAGAACCAAACAACATGCAGCTGAACCGACTTTCATTATAAAAAAATGTTGCACTGATTAATCCCAAACTGGGCAAAACATGCACCGTTTGGTTTTTCCATTTTCCATCTTTTCTCTGCACTGGTTGAAAGAACACAATCTTTATGTGATGGGTGATGGAATCATTTTCATTTTCAAGAAAACCATCCCTTTGACAGACTGTAGAGGCACAATAAGATGCCTCATAAGAAGATTATTGGAGAATTTAGCCAAATGGCATCTGTAAAGGTTAAAAACTAAAAGCATGAAATGAATCTTAACAGACTAGAATGATACAGTCTTTTGAACAAATCACAGTCCAAAACCCATCCTAAAGTGCCTATGTCCCTCTGAACTCTTATAACCCTCCGGAGAAGGTCTAGACACCCTTTCAGGACAGAAACAAGATGGAGACCCCACCTATGCTTGAAATCTTTAATATGCATCTCCAAAAAAGTCTCCATATTATTTCAGAAGCGTGTAAGCCTGAGGAATCCCAAATAATGTTCTCTGTGCCATTCTTATTAGTTCTGCATTTACAGATTTCATCGCCAGCAGAACACTTCAAATCTCCGTATAAGTATTCCAAACATTTCAAACGCGCATCACACAAGCTCTGTAATATATTTTTGCATGTAATCTAGATCATATAAAGCCGTTTCACATGTTCACGTTCAAATTGAACACTGAGTGGTTTCCTGGCCTCGCAGGCAAGAGGAGCATCCAAAAATAGCTGTACCGCAAAACGTGCAGCTTCATCATTCTCCTGAGCGCCGCAGTGGCCCGCACTATGACACATGCAACTTACCGATCATATGAACTGCGCCTCAGATAAACATTTAACAAAGGGCTCGACTCAACGCCACTCACCCCAGTGCAGTGATAGTCTAAATCGTCCACTAATTCTTACACGCATGTAACCTTCAGCAGCAGTCATAGGTGCGGACGCGCGCGTACAGTACACGACCCGTCCCAGATGGAGATTCATGCGAACACACGTGTGTGATGATGTCACTTACCTCCGCAGCACAAAATAATTGCGTTGATTTGTGTTTTTCTCTTTAAAGGCGAAAGTGCAGCATTCAGTTTGGCTCTTCTATCCGCTTAGCAGCTGATGGGAAACAATCGGTTAACTGGATGGGTGTGAGTGCAGTACCGCAGTGAGGAGAGGAGGAGGATGGACATCTGCGGGAAAGAGATGCGGGACAACTTTCACAACTCACGCACACTGCAAAATAATAAACAATAAACCATCTAAATAAGCTACTAAAATATAGAGCCACCGAATACAGACTAGAAACAAATCAAATCATAGCAGTGAGTCATGAGATAATTATTCTTTGTAAAAAAAAATCTTGAAATGTGAAATCCTATAAGTTTTTGTAGGGCTGAGCGATATGACAAAAGTCGAATATCAGGATAAAAGTCATCGTACAATAACGATAAATACCAAGACAGCTAGTAGCCCTAAAATTTCTGTAAATTCAATCAATTAAAGTTTTTCTATTAATTGACCACATGTAGAACTAGGCTATTTCTATTTTAGTTTTTGAGGTAAGCTATATATTCAGAAATTTACTTATTTATATTTGATAAGGTTTCTGACTTTATTTTGAACTTCAGAGCAAATGTGATTTAAATTTTGAAATAAAAAATATTATTATTTAAATGTAAAACACTTGAAAAAAAGATTACATACCCCCAAAAAATCATATATTATTATTATTATTATTATTATTAATAAAAAATCATATATAAAATATAAAATATATAAAATGCAAAAATGTAAACATTGTTGCAATCTTAAAATTACATTCTCATGTTAATCATGTCTGCATCCTCACATAAATTATGAAAAGCATTACTCTAATGCAGTGTTTCTCGACCACGTTCCTGGGGGACCACCAGCTTTGCACACTTCCATGTCTCCTTTACCAAACACACCTGACTCAGATTATGAGTTCATTAGCTGACACTGATAGAACTGTAATGGGTGTGACAGACAAAGGAGACATCCAAAACATGCAGTGTTGGTCCTTCAGGAACATGTCTTTTGTGACACCACAAAATAAATGACAGAGCATAATTTGCATAACTATACATTTTAATTTTGTCCATTTATTACTCATCATTGAGCTTTAGTTAAGAAAAAAATGTCCTAAGGTAAATTAAGTATCATAACACTTATTGCAAGCAATGCATTTACAGTTGCAATCAGAATTATTAAACCCCCTGAATCATTAGTCCCTCCGTTTATTTTTACCTCAATTTCTGTTTAACGGAGAGAAGAGTTTTTCAGCATATTTTTAAACTATAGTTTTAATAACTCATCTCTAATAACCGATTTCTCTTTGCCATGATGACAGTATATACTAATATTTTACCAGATATTTTTCAAAGCTTCTTTATAGCTTAAAGTGACATTTAAAGGCTTTAATTGGGTAATTAGGTTAAAGGCAGGTTAGCGTAATTAGATGAATTACTGTATAACAATGGTTTGTTTTGGAGATTACTAGAAAAATATACAGCTTGAGGGGGTTTAAATTTTTGACCTTAAAATTATTTAAAAAAAAGAAAAATAAAAGCTGCTTTTATTCTAGCCAAAATAGAGCAAATAAGACTTTCTTCAAAAGAAAAAAATATGATTAGACTTGCTGTGAATTTTTTTTGATCTGTTTAACATAATTTAGGAAATATTTTTAAAAAATTCATAGGGGGTTTAATAATTCTGATTTCAACTGTAGGTCAGTGGTCTCAAACTAAATTCCTGGAGGGCCACAGCTCTGCATATAGTTTAGCTCCAACAACTTCCAACTCACACCTGCTTAATAGTCTCTAGTAGTCTTAAACACCTTGATTAGTTGGATCAGCTGTGTTTGATTAAAGTTGAAGCAAAACTATGCAAAGCTGCGCTCCTCCAGGAATACAGGTTGAGACAGTTTTGAGTCATTTATTCTAATTACCGCTAAAAAAGCTTTTTTTAAAAAAAAACAGTTTAATTTTCTTATTTTATGTGAAACTAGACTTTCTAAAAAGAAGAATTCCTCTTAATTTAAGACTTATCATTATATATTCTGTCTTAAATTAAGCCATATCAAGAACATTTCAATACCCCTGATTAAGTGGAATTATTCTTATTATTATTATGCTGCATTTTATTTGGTGGAAACTGTGATATATGACAAAGTAGATTGAATACCAACAAATAAATAAATGAATAAACAAATAAATAGATTTCATGCATTAAACTGATCAAAAGCAGTAAAGTTCTATAACAGCATTCTGCATACTGTTCTTTTGAACTACTGTAGCAAAGAATACTAAAAAACACATTTCCACAAAATTAAGTAGCGGACAAATATTTTCTAATCTGTTGTCTTATAACTTTGCATTAAATCAGCATGTTTGTATTTGATTTCTGTACATTAAAAAAGAATTGAAACTTAATTACTCTAATATTTGACCAGTAGTCCAATTTCATTTACTTTGTTTACTTTGGCAAAGATAGAGCGCACTTACAATAGAGACGCATTTTTAAACACCATCACTTTGTATTGGCTGTGAATTGCCTTGAGTATTGACTCCACGTAAATGAAACAATGATTCTGATGCCATCTGGTGGAAATAAAAACAACTATGTTTTAAAGAAACTTGCATTTCAAACACTTTAAATCAATATTTTTATTTTCAAAACAGCCTGTTTAGGCTATAAAAAAATAAACAGAATCTTTCAAAAACAGTGGTGTGCAGGAGAGCATCTAGTCCTGTGACAGACTTCACATATTGGGCTTCGACTGGACTCTGAAATCCAAGCGAAAGACAAACAGGAAAATTCAGCTGTTCTTTGATCCACTAAAAAGAACAGGTCCTCATCATTTGATTATAAAACACATATTTGGCAATATATCACAATTTATCATTAATTTCTCCTACATGAAGACTTCACATTAGTACCATTCAGTGGAAAAACGACAAATGATTCGATTCGAACACTCTATAGTGAAAGTAGCTGCAACCACGGCCAGAATATTACTGTACCAAGACAAAACACAGCAACAACCCATATTTTTTTTGTCATTATATCTTTTTTCCCACCTAAATTTAAACCTAGATTCTGTTCTCCGACAGATTGATTTGGTTCAATTATCAGTGTAAAAACTGAATAAAATTAAAGTCAAAGTCACTGTGTTTTGCCATTATGACACAGTCAAGTGGTCAACATTGAATGAGGTGAGCAGGCTACATACTTCTAGAACAGGTCCATGGTACCAAAGTAACACTCCTCATTATTTTTATATTGATATAATTTTGAAATGTAAAAGACAACAACATCTACCCGTACTTGTACAGTACACAACTGATCAACACAACTTTACAATTAAATTAAATGATCAGCATTACACAGAAAACTTAAATTAAAACACTTGAAAAGCACATTTGAAAGCTTCATTTCTGCCCTGGTGCTATGGTAAAGGGGATAGTCAGCTTAAAAAAGAAAATGTGTTATTTATTCACCTTCATATGGAAGCTTGTTTCCACCACCAATTAAAAATAAAGGTAATTGCAATTTTTTATCTGAATTTTTTTTAAACATTTTCCACACTTGAGACCTTCGTTGTGAGAGATAAACTTGTCAGTATTTTATCTGAGTTCTGGATTTTATAACTCACAATTCAAGTTTATAATAACAAATTTGAGGAAAGAATTGTGAATCAGAGTGGAAAAGTAAGAATTGTAGACTTATATCTGCAAATTCTAAATATTTATCTTCTAATTTGTTTCACAATTATGCATATTTATCTTGAAAGACTGTCTAACCAAGCAAATGTGCTTTCATACCACAAAATTCTGAGAGAATAATGTCAGAACTGAGATAAATACCCCAATTACCTTTGTTACAAGCTTCCATAAATAGAAACAAAAATACTGCATCACAAATGAAAATAATTTGAAACCAAACTGCTGGTAACCAAATAGTTTCAGTTCCCACAGACTGTCAATTCTAATGGAAGTCTATGAAAACCAAAGCTGCTTATTTACTCAACCTTAGGCCATCTGAGATGTAGGTGATTTTTTATTTCAGCAGAGGATTAAGGAGTATTTTTGGCTGAAACCATGCTCTTTTGTGATTCATAGAAGTCACAAGTAAATAAAAAAATTACCTTTAATACACAGCCTCTGTGTATTTATGACAGTCATTAGTAAAGAAGATTGCTCAGCTTTACAATGCATTATCAGAAATGTATCATCATGGCTGTTCATTTAATTATGCTCATGTATTTATTTTTGTTGATTCTCAAATTGCCAGCAGCAACAGTATTGGATTTTATGAATCATCAAGGACCACAGTTTCAGCTAAAATCCTTCGATATTCTACTGAAAGGAAAAATGTCCTACACTATTGATGGCTGGATCTATACTCAATTCTAACTTTTATTAAAAGTTTAAGTTTCATTTTTGAGTAAACTATCCTGTTATGGAAAACAGAAAACCTAACTATCGTACCTCGTTTTGACATTCAAAATGTGAAATTAGACAAGAATAAGAAACAAAGGCAAAGACTAAGAAAGATGTGCGATATAGCGACTCTGAAAAAGGTGGAGAGAGTGAGTACTGGAAACTAAATGTTTGCAAAATGGAAAATAGGATTTTGAAAACGATCATATGATTAGAGCCATAAAGTTTATAATATAAAATGACTCTAACTGTTTCTAAAATCAATAAAAATATCAAAAAGTTCAATGGAAATCTTAAACTGTCATTTGAACTTGCCTGAAAGTGGTTTAAAGAAACAATCCACTTTTTTTCTTTTGTAATAGGCTCATTTTATAACTCCCCTAGACTTAAAAAGTTAAGATTGACAATTTTTTAATCCATTCAGCTGATCAGCTGGCAACTTTTACCTTAGCTTAGCATAATTCATTGAATAGGATTAGACCATTAGCATCTTGCTCCAAAAAAGTTTAAATTTTCCTATTTCTGTAGTTTATGTGTGTAGCTCAATTGTGTAAGACCGATGAAAAAAAAGTTGCAGCAAGTGCAATTATATTATGCAGCAGCTGAAAAAAGTCCCCAGCTGGATAACTAGGTGAACTTTTTTGAGCAAGATGCTAATCCGGTTCAATTATTTATGCTAAGCGAAGCGCTCAAGAGATCGGCTGAGTGGATTAAAATTGCTAAAACTCGACTGTTTTCTTGTAAAATGAGCCTATTCCAAAAAAAGTGGAAGTGTTTCTTTAAGAGAGGCATAACATCTGATATACTTTAGACTGAAACGAACAGTTCAGTTTACACATAAATTACAGCTTAAATATTAACAAACTGAAAATGTACACTAGTTCCTAGTGCTGAAGATCTTTTAGTCTTACGGCTCAAATGATTTATGAGCAGGTCCAGTGTGCAGTTTCTGACTTTATTTCTCTCCTCTTAGATTTCGAAATGATCCTGCATGAGTGGTTCAGCGACAGGGCTTGATTCAGCAAAAGCCCGATTTGGCTCAGAAAAGAGTTTTCCAGTAAATCAAGAAAACCAGCACCATCAGATGGGTGTGTTGGGCAGGTGACCGTTAGAGCCGTTCAGCATGTTATTGCTCAGTGTGATTGAAGATTTGCCGTTATGTGCCTGACCAATGTGGGACTGTCCATTAGGAGCTTGTCCATTGCGCTTTTCCAAACGTGGTGAATGTCCTCTGAGAGACTCCCTCTCTTGCGGTGTCGCACTTCCACCCTTCTCAACGTCCCTGCGAGAGCAAGGAGTTTGTGCGATGGTCCTGCTGGTGCAAACATGTCTAAATCTGTTAAAAGCGATGGTTAGCAAGGCGCTAACACACAGCGCTAGCAGAACGGACACCACTACTAGCTCCTGCAAATAGGTTGGTTTATCCACTTGCTTGAAGTTTCCACTGCGTTCATTCATCCAGGAGCTTTCCTCTTCTGCACTAATCAAGGGAGTGAAGTTTTTGCTTTTCCGTGTGGTGGTTGCAGGTGAATCTTTGTGTGCAACAGTAGAACTTGGGTCTTCTGGTTTAGGCCTCAGCTCGGTGTGTTTGGGAGCTGTGGGAGTGGAAAAAGGGGTTTTGTTTCCAGCTTCAGCGGAAGTCGGTGTGATCTTCGGGGAAGACGGGAGGATGGTGGGATTGTTCTTCTGTTTAATATGGTAGACTATCAGTGTTTGGGTGTAGCCGTTCTCCACCGCTTGGCACAGGTAGTGGCCCAGGGTGGACGGGGTCGCCACAAAGCTGAGGCTGCCGTTGACTGACTGGATGAAGATTTTGGGGGAGAGCTGGCTGTTGAGACGCTCCCAGTGGCATTTAGCAAGGTTTGATGCTTCGGGGCATTGTAGGTTAATAACCTCATTGAGTGACACAGACAGCACTTCACCTGGGGGACAGAGAGCTGAGAAGGTTAGAGGTCAAGGGTCAGAATACAGACCACACCACGATGGTAAACACAGACATGCAGTTGATTGAGTACTGTGAATGGCACTTTACTTATTTTGAATACTTTGAGCCAATATCCCAGTTTAATGTGAGCACTTTTAGCTTAGCTTAGCATAAATAATTGAATCTGATTAGGCAATTAGCATCATGTGGAAAAATGTTTTGAAAAAACATTTTCAAAAACAGCCTTTTTAAAGCTTGACCCTTCTGCATTTGCAGACTGACAGAAAATGAGTATTTGCTATTTTCTATTGAGCCAGCTGCAGCACTGGTACAGCAACAAAGTTCCTTGATTATTAGGCCAGAACAAGTGTGCCACACGCCTGCTTTTGAGTGACGCTCCCGGCTGTTAGATCGTCTCCTAGGGCCTGGCTGCAGTACAAGTCATAAAGCCCACCTCCTCCATGTTAACGAACGAAACCAAATGATTAAATGAATTTCACTTGAAATAAAAATTCCAGAAAGGTAGTTTTGATCAATAGAGGCACTGGTTATCAAGCTGACATAGGTGCAGATCTTCATTTTTGTAAGGAGTATGTTTTTAGCCAGTAATTTAATGCTATAAAAATGGGGCGTGTCATCGTGATTGACAGTTGTGATTGAAAGTTTCTCTAAGCAGACAGTTGGAGCTTTGGGAGAAGATTGAAGTGTTATTATTCCATTTCTGTGTCATTTTAGCATGACAAAATGAGTTCCCCAGTAAACTATACTTTCTAACCTACAGGATCTGAAGGATCACTGTTTATTCAGTAAAGTGAGGGCCTTATCAGGTTTTATTATTAGTTTGCTGGTACACACCAAAACATGACAGGAAAATGCAGGTGATCATTATCTAGCAGTAATTCTCTTTATGGGTTGAAATAATAATAAGGAAGACAAAACTAATGTTAGCCTATCTCCATATTGATCTCCTGCAATGTTATTTTAACTTCAATTGCAGGACGTCTCTGACATTTTGAGTTCCAGATGTTGTTGAGTTAATCTACTGAATTGGCTGTTATAAAAAATTAATGTTCTAGAAACAGAATCTTGTATAACAAATAGAGCTGTAAATGTTATATTTCATTTATATACATCATTTATCTTTTGATTTTTATTTGAAAACTCCTAATAAACATTAAAATGAATGTAAATTCTTCTTTGCCAGATATTAAGGCATTGAATAAACCGAATGAAAACGGAGGCAAGAAATGATAAACAATATACAAGCGATGTTGCAGCAGCTGATAGACATTAGCTGATGTATTAATACTGCTAAGTTAATTGTACAAATTGACAAGGATTATTTTATATAGAGCAGGGATGGGATGTGTAAATATTCTGTTGATATTTAGAAATCTTGCTGAATTTTTCTGTTAAACGCACAATTTTTCCTGCATGGCAAACAGCTGTCCATGATGTGTATATTTTGGGTCCTGTTGATTGCTACTAAAAGTGTGTGAGTGATATTTCTACCCCTATATGAAGTTAACAAACACCAAGAACCCGTTATAAGAGAAATATTTTTGTGCTTATAGCAGAGTCTAACTCAGGCTAGAGTGTATGAAAGATCGTTTATTTCTGCAATCCAACATGTCTTGTAACATGTCTTGTAACTTATTAAATTATAAAAAACAGCCTACATCACAGTTTTTAAATCATATATTATTAAGTGTTTTACAATGTAAGTGCTTATATTTATTTAGCGAGACTTTGTTATGAGGGCGATCAAATGAGAAGTTCAGGGGACGTGGCTGATTTGACGTACAAGCATTTGGCTGGAAGCTTGACTCTGCAGATCTGCCTCTGGCTCCATCAGGCAGTCCTTCTGGGCATGCCCAAGCTCCAATTTCAGCAGTCTTTTGTAACTGTTTGTGCCGGTCACAAGATGTTTTGCATTCAAAGCGTTCAATGGGAAAAGGCACTGTTGCATCATCCATATTTTACAATCATTGGGCCAGAATAAGATAGAGCTAAGATCTTGCTTAAAAAATGAAACCCGACCCTACCCAAGCCCGTGCACCTTTTGTCTGAGCCCGACCCCGGTCTGACACATTAACTGCAATTATGAGCTTGATTTAAATCCAACAATTTTTTAGCACGTGAGCCGTTATAACAGACATTCTTAACTACAATTCTGAGTTGTTTGAACTCCAGAAATTAGTTTAGATATATCTTAATGAATAATGTAACAAGGACAGAGCATGTAAACTGCACTGTTTTTGTATTCAGAATGGATCGTAACAAAAGAGGACATTGTAGGCTGACTATCAAGCTTTCTGCCATGGCAAGCCTGCTTCTTGACATGTGCCTGTTCATCCTGTAAGTCGTTGTTTTTACGCATCTTTCACACCGCACGTGTGAGAAGAGAGTGTTTTGTCTGCGTCCAATTATTAGAGCTTTCATACTGCACAGAGAAGCAGCGCGTCAGTGCGTGAGCAGAGCTGAAGCATCAGTGCTGCGATCATTTCAGCACCGGGTCTATTTTTGTTGCTGCTTATGCTGAATTAAAGTGATAGTGCGTTGATAATGACTAAAACACATTGAATAACTGAACACATTGAATGAGTGAAAATGAGCAATTTTACCAAATAAATGCCTCTATAAGATCCCCTGATTTATATGCACCGTTGCTGCTCTACATACGCACTGCGCACACACACTGCTTCAACTCTGCTTGTGCGTGCGGTGTGAATGTATGCCATTGGAGGATATGCTGTTGCAGGAGCTAGAGCGTTGCTGCGCATGACATGCATTGCAAATTAAGCAACTTTGTAGACCCACACGTGTTGATTTGGCTGACTTTGCTAAAATATTCGTATCATATATCTAATAATGGCACAGCTTTCCACTCAATTAGGCTAATTAAGTAATGACTGAAAAATAAAAAACACAAATGCTTGTTCACAGGCCGCCCAAAGGCAATGGCAGGAAATATCAGCCAAGAATGAAAGTATTATTCCACTCATATCGACCTAGAAGTTTAAAACTCCTGACACTTTTTTTTTTTTTGAGAGAGATGCTAATGGTCCAATCCGATTTAATGATTTATACTAAGCTAGGATAAAAGAGGTCCAGCCAGACCCAGAGATTGGCTGAATGGATTAAAATATGCTAAAACTCTGGGGGACTCATTGGATTGTTTCTTTAATTATTACACATGATTATTTAAATTATATGTAAATAAAAAGGACAAAAACTTGTACTTACTCTGGGTGTTTTGGGGCTGGCCAGAGCGGGATCTGAGGTTCACACTGGAGCACTGCTCTGATACTTTACCCTCATCTACATCCTGAGCCCTGCAAGAGCAGCAGAAGGAGACATTCATTTCAACAAAGATGCTTGTGCTCAATTACACACTTTTGGTGGCATAGATTTCTTATGTAACCTTAAGCATTTTAAACCAGTTAGTATTTTTTTATGTTTGAGCACATTTTTCTGTGCTGATACTCACAGCTGATTCTGTGATGTGGTTATCAGTTTGCAGACCCTCTGGGAAAGGTCCCAGCCACAGAAAGGGTCTCTGGCCAGAACACATTCAGCACAGCTCCTGTAGTGAGAGCAGTTGGACACTGGCACTGACAGCAGCCCTTCTGAAGAGCCGATCAGCACTGCCCCCTGCAGGACGCATACAGACAATCACGATCATTCCTGAACACTCTTTCTGGGCTCCTCTGGTCAGGAAGTGAGAACGGAAATTTTTTTTTTTTTTTTTTTTTTTGGTGTACGAGTAGTAAATTAAATTACTAAAAAACAGTCTCTCTCCCTGTTATCAGGCATCCTGTTTCATTTTGCATCTGATATAATACAGGGTGTCTGCAGGTTTCATCAAGTAAAATTTAAGACTTTTTAAGACCCTTTTAAGACCACTATGATTCAAATTTTAGACTTATACAGGGCTAAACAATAAGGATTTTTTTCAATTTTTTTCAATTTTTTTTTGCTTTCCAAAATAACATGAATCAAATGTAGTTATTTCTTAGTTATATAGTTTAATGTGTCAAAACAAAAAAACAAGTTGTAAAAATTTTTTCAACATAATTTCCCTTTTTTAATTACAAGTGTAACATTGTTAAAAGTAAATTTATTATGGACACTATTACATGAATGAACAAAAATATATGATTGATTGTTTTTGTCCAAATGGATTGAGTATATAACTCCTTTTTAACCTATTGCATTTCTGTAAAAAAATTTTATTTCTTTGCAATAAAAAAACTGAAATATATACACGAAAAAAGTTTTATTGATATAGATTTCTGATGACTGGATGGATTTAAGGCCTGTTTAAAAGCATTTAAGACCAACAACACAATATTTGTGTAAAGTTAAGACTTTAAGACCCCACAGACACCCTGTAATATGTAATTCAGTAATTTTGATGTTTGCAAAAATTCAACAACTAAATATAAAAAAAAAGAATATTATTTTATAAAAAATTATATTATGCCATGCAACACTACATATTCCTTTAGAAATCATTCTAATATGTTAATTTAATTATGAACCAATAACATTACTTAATTATTAATTATAGTTCTTATTATCAATGCTGGAATTACTTAAAACTATATATTTTACAAAGCATTCAAAATGCATTTAAAATCGTGTTGTCTCTGTTGTCTAAACTTTTATCTTTCATTTTGATCCATTTAATGCATCCTATCTAAATGTAAGAAATATTTTTATTATTTCTATTAGAAATCTTATTAGCTATAAATTTATTATGATGTTTCAACAAAAATATTGAATAGCGCATGTATTTTCAATAATGATTTAAAGAAATGATAATTAAAGTAAGTTTTGAAAGACGAATGTATGGAAAAAAGTTTTACATTTACATTACTGTTCTTACAGATTTTAATCATATACATTCAGATACTTCTTTCAAAAACATTATCAATTACTTTTAGAAGCCTTTTATGTAAACAGTTGTTGACAACCCTTGATATTTATAATATTCTAAAATATTTAGCTTCACACAGCTTCCTTTAGTTTAACAAATGTCTACACAAATGCACACTACACTAGAAATCCTTCTCGCAGACCTTGATCTAACCCAATTATCGAAAAAACGTGACTGCTGAGGTCATCAGTTAATCCAAACTCACAGACTGCAGCTTGTGGGTCAATGACACGTAAATCATTTTACTAAATTTTCCATGTCTTTTACAAATAATTCACAAAGTAAATACAGAATAAAGACTTTAAAATAAAGTCTGCATCTGCCATGAGTAGCTGAGCTCTGATTGGCTAAGCAGTGTGATGGGAATGACTGGTATTGAGTGTTAAACATTGCCATTTAGATGAGTAAAGCTGGAAATTGATTGCTGATGCATCAGGTACCTTAGAAACAGACAGAAGGAGGCTTTTGACCATCTGAGGTTGATGAAACACTTGTATCTCCTCGATGATGTGAGCTCCCTTCTTCAAGAGCACAGTTTTGTGCAGGAAGCCTGACTCTGCAGGGAACAGAGATAAGATTTTAAAATGACTTGATGGAGAAAACCTTTATATCAGGACTGCAAGAAATTATTATAGGTAGAACATGAAATTATGCGTGTTATTAAAAGACATTCAAATTTCATTACTTTAAAAAAAGAAATATTAAAATCAATGTAAATAAAGTTACCATACATGGTTCCTTGCCCAATAAAGGGTTAATTTTCCAGTTTTGGTAGCTAATGTTTTAGCAATTAATTGTATTACTTTAAATAACTTCAGTTTATGGCAAACTTTCATTTGTATTTCGTCATTTCACATACTGAATATGATTTTGAATTGTTTTAGTTAACAATAAGAATATGGCTAGTAAGTCCACCCATTTATTCCAAATGAAAATGAACAATATTACCTTGGTAAGTGGCTAAAACTGGTTTATATTTGTATTATATTTAAGAAAATGTTTATTTAGTTTGAAGTAAATTGTTCATTTCTCTTTATCCTGTTGGAAATTTAAAACACCATGATGGAACTATAGAAAATGTCACAAAAACTACACATAAAATGTAGTCTTCTTGTTATTTCTGATGCTGACTGATGCAGTAACATATACCTGTAAGCAGATAAAGCACAGTGTAATATTTGCCGCGTGCTCCTTGTACTCTCTGAGCTGCGATGTTGCTGTAGCTCTTATCAGGTGACACCACTGTCAGGCCCTGATTGACTGGTAGAACACTTTTATCAGCCAGGAAATTGTCCTTAACAAAGCGCAGAGTGTTGTCTGAAGCATTGTGCAGTCCACACTGCAGAGATAAAGAGCAGACATTTGAATAGGCATAAGAAGAGTTAAGTAGATAACAGGTAAGGCAATTATAAACATTTGAATAAAATAAAAAGTTTGGGATATGGGAAAATTTTTAATGTGAAAAGTCTCTTAAGCCTGGTTTATACTTCTATGTCGAGTGATCAGCGTGACCCGCGGCACATGCCTTGCACGTTGTCGTGCATTTATACTTCTGCATGCTGCTTCTGTGCAATAATTCCGAAACACTAGCTGAAGTTTCTTGAGCTACTCGAGTTACTTTACATGAGTTTCCATCCATGTGCAGGCTGCGCCAGAGCAAACGCGTGCGCTAAACACAGAAGTACAAATCAGTCTATAAGTTCAAATAGGCTGCATTTATGTGATTAAAAAAAAAATGTAAAATGTAAAATATGTATTTTAAATTTGAATATATTTTATAATGTCAAAGCAGAATAGTCAACATTCTTTCTTCCGTATCACTCGAGCCTTCAGGAAATATTGTAATATCACAATTTACTAGTCAGAAAATATCATAGATTGTAATGTTGAAAAAGTACTGTTTGAATTTTTTTTTTAATAAAATGTCCTGACCCCAAACATTTAAATAGTTTATAATAAAATGCTGCAATGGGTCACTCATGGCACTCACCTCTCCAGGGTTTGCCATCTGCTCCTGCACCCTTGTGCTCCATTTCAGAGTATCCCGATTCAGAACCTTATAACGTCCTGTAAACACCTTTTTAATGTCTTTGAGGCTGAAAGCACACACGGCTGAGCGACCCAAGTTTACTCGCCTAAAAACAAAAAAACAAAAAAAAAAAAAAAAACAGAACTAAGTTCATAAAAATTCTCACTTCCTTTTAACATGAAAAAAAATCTCTGAAAAACCTGAAGCAAGTTCCCTCACCACTGAGAAGTGAAAATCCCATAGAAGAGTGTTTCATCCTCAGATGCGCCCTCTGGTGGAGAAAGGCTGATAACGTCCTGCAGAACGTTGTATGGCAGCTCTTGGTCAGCTTGACACAATAGCTGAGCCTTGGCAAAGGTGGTCCAGCGTTTCTGTAAAGTTCTCTGCCCACCAACATCACTCTAAACAGAGATTGACACATTTTATTGAAACCTTTTAGATTAAGCAAGTCTTTCACTTGAAAATGGAAAATACTGTTAGAGGATTAATTCGGCTGCAAAAAATCTTTAATCTTTTACTCATTCAACCAGTAGCCACTGACTTCCATAATAATTTTTAGGTTTCTAACATTGGTTTCTAACATTGTTCAAAATATTTTCTTTCGTGATCAACAAATAAAATAAATTCATAAGCATTTAAAGTACTAGAGGGTTAGTAGACTTTAAATTATGGTCAAACTATGCATTGTTGAGTGCATCAAGCAACACTTACTGTGCAAACTTGGGCAACGCGAGACACCGTAAACTTGTCAATGAAGTCGTATTCTTTTCCAATCTCACTGAAGAAGAAATAAACCTTCTCCTCACTGTGAATATATGTGGAGCTGATGAAAGTAGGATCTGAAATAGCAAAAAAAAAAAGAAAATGTCTAATTATGAGTGGCCATTAAACAGTAAATCAGTATAAACCATCAGCAGTTTTTCCTTGCCTTCTAACCATCCAAGTGTATCATCCAGTTTCAGATCAACATGGCTGCCCTCACTCAAGTGCCGTGAAATGACAGGTCGAGTTCCTCTGAAGTCTGACACAGTTCCTGTATACAGTTCCCCATCTGAAACAAATTGCAATACAAATACTGAAACCAAACAATCATAATTCTTATGTAAGAATTCATAATCTCTGTCTTTAATATTAACAGGGCTCCAGACAAAGACTTTCAAAACAAAAGTTCAACGCCACCATGTTCAACAGATGCATTTCAATTTCAACAACAATTGGATTGGATTTTTGGTTGATCTGAGAATGTCAAAGGGCCACAGGGCTCCGTATTAGGTACTTCATTTTACTAATAATGACTAACAATAAATAAATAAATAGATAGAGGGATATGAACAGCACAAGCCTGAATTTTACCTTTGAACTTACCTTTAAGCTCAAACAAACACCTGATTTGGAAGCACTGTGCATATTATATTAACAATCATATATTTTGTCTTTTATAAATGCACATTTTACAGACTGAGTAGCATTAGTTTGAACTTGAATGAGGGGATACTGAAGTTCAATTTGAATTCACCAAAACCTGTAAAAACAAAAAATTTAAAAGAAAATGGGAGGTGGAGCTAGAGATAGAACTATCAGAAGATATGTGGCAATCCGTTTTAGACAATATCCACTCATCTTCAATTTGTTTAAAACATAGAGTTATACAATTTTAAGTAGTACATAGATTACATTGGTCCAAAGTGAAACTAGCTAAATTTAAACCAAATATAGACCCTAACTGTGACCGATGTAACATTGAGCCAGCTACTTTATCTTATATGTTTTGGGCTTGTTCAAAATTAAAGAAATTCTGGCAGCTAATATTTAAATTCCTCTCGGATGCATTAAATACCTATGTAATACCTGAGGCCATAATTTCAATTTTTGGAATCCCACCACAGTCCTTATGTTTTAACAAAACCAAGATAAATGTGATTGCCTTTGCTACGCTTTTAGCTAGAAGATTAATATTGCTGAAATGGAAGGAAAAACTTCCTCCAACCTTTAAGCAATGGCTTATGGAACTTCTACACCACCTGACCTTAGAAAAAATACGATACACTTTAGGAGGCTGTACTGATATGTTTTTTCTCACCTGGCAACCTGTTTTAGATCACGCAAAAAGGATGGACCCCTCAGTCATTTTAGAAGAGTAGAACCTTTCCTTGTTTGTTTGTTTGTTGTTGTTTTTTTTTTCTCTTCAATTTTTTGTATTTTCTTTTTTTTCATAGAGTAACATATGCTTTACTTATTATTACTATTTATTTGTATTTTTTCTTAATATTATTTATATTTTTTCTAGAACCTAAATGTATGTGCGACAGGTTTTGTTTGTTTGTTGTGTAAAAAAAATAAATAAAATTGAAAAGCTATTTTGTAATGTATGTTTCATATCTAATATGTTCAATAAAAATACTTTTGGAAAAAACCTGTAAAAACAAAATCTAGTTTTGTAGTTTTAGCTCCACATTTACTTTAGCTAGGGCTTGTAGTCAATAATAGACTAAATAGTTCATATAGCATATAGATCAAAACTAAATTAAATAAAATGTATCACTTTTGTATCAACAGTTGTCTATTTTTTTTAATAAACTTCTCACACTACAAAGAACATTTTTTGAAACTGATTAGTTCAGTGGGGGTTTACGGAAACAGTTCAATCCAAAAATTCACTTGTCCTCTTTCTTGTATTGCACACAAAGGTATATACACTAAATATTAAAAAATACAATAGTTATCGACTTCCATAGTATTTTATTTACTCCTATTAAGAAGAATATTTTATTTTGCGATAAAGAAATGTATTACAGTTTAAAACCCCTTGAGTGAGATTAAATAATAAGGATTTTTTATATTTGGGTGAATTATCCCTTTAAAGGTTCTTCATAGAACCATTGATGTCAATAAACAACCTTTATGTTCAAATGTACAAACTCAACAAAGAATGCAGTGTGTGGTCAACTGGGCTTCGTGCAAGGCTCTAAACTGTGGGCCTGTCTGATTGATGATGAGGTAAATGTGAAGTGAACATTCTCAGGCCTCATGTCTGAAGTCACATGTCGGCCACCCAAAGATAAGTAGATCACGACCAGGATTTTAGAGCAAGAGGATTAACAGTGTCTGTTCAATGAGAGAAACCTCCCCGTCTCTTTTTCTAGTTCACTTTAGTCTTCTTCCTTAAGACCTAATTCACACCACACTTGCAAGCAGTGTGAGAAGGATGACCTCGGCATCACCGACATTGTTGTTTTCCTTGAAAGTGTTTTTTGCAACATAACAGAAATGTGCCATTTGCGCTGAAATTGGGAGTTTGTGATTAATATATATTTAAAACTTGATCATCAAGAAATGATGACAGTGTCAAAGTGCCTTACTTGCATTCTTAGTAATTTGACTAATAATAACGAGTAGGTTTTTTTCTATTTTCCAACGAAACAGAGGTAATATTATTATCATGAGTTATGAATGCACAAAAAACATAATCATATCCCCTATTATGGGTTTTTGAAAATGATCTTACATGCAGTGTGTAATACAGCTCTAAGTGAATGGAAACATCCAGCTGAGGTTTAAATCTGAAAGTGCACTGTGTTTAAAACTATTGAGTCTTTGACAAAATCGAATAAGTGGAATAAATGAATTGAGTTTGGTTCGGATCTTTTACTTGAATGCATCAACGTTGATACGGTACATCAACCAACTATGAAGTGCCAGATCTGTTAAATGTGAATGTGCCTTTTCCTTCAGACACTAGCGGAGCTTGGGGGATCACGGGAGTGATCATGACACGAAGATGACGATCAATGATGGATGGCGATTCGGCTGCGGGGAGTAAAGGGTTAAGGTTTACTTTCACAACACTACCCCAGTATAGCCAATGCGTGTGCTGTGTTTGTTCCTGTGATTTTTCAGATTTTTGATATAATAACCTACGAGGCAACGCAGGATTTGCCGACAGCTTGCTTTTAAAGGAAGGAACAGCAGAGACTATTATGTATTGCACTTTCTTAGATTTTGGCAGAGATTTTGTCAGCAACTGTTAATTAACCCCTCGCTAAGCCACACCCAAATCCGCCACCCACCAATCGTGGCTTAGCAACTGTAGCCACGTGCAGGGGCTCTGTCAAGCTTTCGAGCGAGTGCATATGGATTGTGCAAATCTGACAACCGGCATCCTTAAAGTTTGGACAGGATGGTGGTTTTCCCTTTTCAAAACCAAAAACCCAAGAGGAAAAATGCCAGCGTGGACCAAGCTGTGTGAGGGGCGCTAAAGGAGCAGAGTTAGGTTGGTTTTGTTTTCGATATTCCTATCACATTCAGTGATGGACCGACAGCAATAACTCACACACCTCTTACCCTGAACAGATCTAAACTGTGTTTCCAACAAAAATACAAAGCAGGTTTTGTTTCACAGCTGTATTATTCCTTTTTTTTCGCTGGGATATTGTGAGTAATGCTCCGTTTAAGCCTTCGCCATAACGTTATTTACTTAGTCATACTAATAGCGAATAGGTCATAATGACACAAGTTATTGATCCAGAAAAAACGAATCTGCAAATCTGTTGCTAACTTTACTGAACTTCATATTTCCATCTGTTTTAAGCTTGCAAAATAGGGGCTCTTTAAATAAGAAATTTGTGTGAAACGGGAAGATAAATCATGGATATGGACAACGGAAATTTTATTTTTACCTTTGAAATTTCCTTTCTGATCTTTTGTGCGAACAGTTTGTTTTTTTGATCCAACAAAAGTAATCAAAGTCACATCAAACTAAATTCAAGAATTCAATTTATATTATCTTCCAAATCTGAGCCAAGTTAGCAAGTTTATTTGTGATTTCAATGGTTCAATGTTAAAAACAATTCTAAGCCCACCAGGACTAGAATAAACTAACTAAACACTGTCATATCCAGTCATTTGTAAACAACAATGATATATTGTTTAAACAGAACTGTAATAATTCGTTTTTGAATACTCGGCAATAAAACACTGAGCTACAGCTACATTCATCAAAGGTTTACTGCATGTGATAGACACGGTGTTGTCTCTTATACATGAGGTAAACCTTTTTATTAACTCTGTAATGTCTTACAGATCCTGAAATATTAAACACACTAACTCTTTAGGCATTATGTGTAAATCATGCCAAATAACTAAAGCCAGATCATCATGCTCATGCCACTGTTGATATACTTACCCACAGTTATGGCTGAATTCTTCTGATATGGGTCATAAGGACAGCGGCCTCTGCCTTCTTCAGGTTTACCGCTGGGTCCTGTAACCATGGTGAATGTCTGTGAATTCTGTGGACATGAGCACATATCATTAACATATTGATATTAGATTAACATAAATATGTACACCACAACCTTGCCCTGCTAATTTTGTTCAAATCTGATCTGCAAGGAGAATTTAACAACAACTTCACACACTGTTGTGGTTTCATTCAGGCATGCACAATTCTGCTGAGATCTGCACACACACTGATCTTCTTCCTTTTACACTCATAAAAAAGCACAGAGTGTGAAAGCAGCACTGAGACTGCTGTGTTCGCATGACAGGATCACACAATGCTCAATAATGCATGAAAAATGCAAGTCACACAAGTTTCCGTCTTTAAGGTGCATGATATTGGAAACTTATACAGTCCAAGTAGCTAAAAATCAGGAAGTTATTCAATCTTTCATGCCCAGCAGGGTTATGCAATATCCTAACATGTCACATGATTCAGCCTGAGGTTAAGACTCCAGACTGACGCAAAAAGTTCAGGGCACTGTTATTGATGTTATTTATTTGGAAGGATATCAAATAAATAAAAACTAATGCAAAGTAAACTGCCTTTCCACCACATTTAAAATGTTATACAGCACAACTTTTTGTTTTGTCTTATTTCTAGTCTAAATATCTAAAAATCCTTAAATCAAGATGCATTTTGTAGACGTAAATATTGTCTTGTTTTCTGAAATAATGTCAGCGAGATTTTCTTTAAAGCAAACACAATAACCTGCCAATGGTGTAGGAAAAAGAATCTTTTTTTCACTTTGAAATAAAAATATTTTACTTGCCCCATTGGTAGATTATTTATTTATATTTTATATTTTGCAGTGTGAAATTCACTCCCTAAAATCAGTGACAGAAAATTTGATTTGGTTGATGAATTGATATTTATAAGGCATATAAACTAAATAGAATGTCATTTAATCAAACTTAATTGAAATATCTGATTGTGACAAATCAACCAAAGCTCACACTGAATCTGAAAATTCAACATCTGGTCAGAGATGCATGTAGTGCTCATATTGTTCTGCAAAATAAATGAATGACTTCTGGTCTGATGTTTGTCAGAAATGGTCAAAAGTTAAGAGTGCAAAAAGACAGTAAAAGAGAGAATGCGGTCTTACAATGTAGATACAACGAGGGCTGAAGGCAAACGTTCCACAGGCGTACATATGTGTAGAGTTCAGCACTTGCAAAACTCTCACAAAGTTATGACAATCCATCTGAAGGTGGAGAAGGAAAAAATGTTAAGGACTAGTTTATAAAAATTTGCTTAGGTTACCATTTTACACGGAGGTTACCAACAAAAAAAGTGTTTGGTTCCACTAACCTTCAATTTGCCTTTCATGGAACAATCATTAAAGTCTTTTTCTGAGGGAGACCAGTCCAGCTGAAATATATCATGGTCAAATTACAATATTTATCAATATAGTTATTTCTGTCATTCTTATCAAGCAAGACTAAGCATGGTACCAGCTAAAACACCTTATTGTGTTTATAAAACATTGCATAAAATGACATAACAGAAGGCTGCAGTTCAACAAAAATAATGAAATAACCATTATAATAATGAAACACTCATTACTGCAATCATAGTTATGGAATTTAAGTCTGTTTCAATGCTATAATAACATTGTTATGCTTTATCCATTAGTTTTCATTTTTTGGACAGTGAATTTCAGGGTGATATCCTTTAATCAATCACATATACTTAAAAAGCTCACTGACCTTCTCCTTCAATGTCATATCAGTCTGACTGATGTTGATTGACAGAATGGTATCACGTGCTCCAACAAATAAGGTGCCCTCATCGTTGCTAAGCAACAATGTGGTGGCGTTGTAACTATCATCATTTGTGAAGACGGTGAGAGAGCGACCTGGACTACCTGTGACGCAGCAGAAAATACAAATATTCATGAAAAGCAGTACTAATCAAAAATAATACAATAATTACAGATTACTTGCTAATGAATTACCGCTAATTTGGAATGTAAGGATACAGTATTTCTTAGAATGACAAATGACAAGTAACTGGCATAAACAATGACTAAAAACAAAGAGTGTGACATTTTCATACAGCATTGACAACAGTTTGTGTGGGGTTGAAAACAATGTGACAATGCAGAATAATGTATGATTTACTGTAATATACTGCCTTCCAAAAGGCTTGACTATACATCATCCTGATGTTGCAAAAATACAAGGAGATGATTAATCACATCTAATTATTCCAGATGAATAGTAGCGTACTGTAGATGTGAGTATTCTATAAAAACAGGTCAGTGTAAGATACAGAGAGCCTTTAGGCTAAAGGGACCAAGACGTAAGATATACATACACATGCTATATGACATTAGCATATTAATGTGCCACTGACACATCATCTGATGTAAAATATTATGACAGGTGTCACATTAGATTTGTGTGTAAAGTCCCGGTTTCTTTAGAAGATTACTATAGAAATATATAATTTAAACACACATTGTATATAATAAATGAACTATATATTGTATTAATGTATATCAATAAATATTACATAACTGTATTAAGGAAGCGCATAAGGAAAAACGAGGAAAAAATAAAGTTAAAGATAAATTCACAGACACCAGGGGGCAGACAAACACCCACAGAAATATTAATGGCACCAAATAGCGCTTAATAGATTAATTATGGCAGAAGACAAAAACTGTTCTCATGACAATGACGCAGAAATGACGCAGTGTTCTGACCACAATTACAGCTTTTTGATGAAAACGTTATGACAAAACATTAATTATCAAGTGGAAGTGTTCAGATTTAAGTTTATTTTCTTCTCTTTTTTTGAAGTTATTACTGTGTACACTTGTAGTTGTTTTAGCATAATATATGATATAAAAATAATATAATAAACTGGGGCAATTGTAACACACACACACTCCATTATAATTCTTTTCAATTTTACTTGAAGAACACCAATCATCTTTTTTAACATAAATTATTATTATAAGTGCAAAAATTAATAAGATATTTTATATATTTTGACTTATAAGGATGATACTTTCAGAACTGCCAGTGTCAACAAAATTAGTCCAATTATTGCACTCTTCTAAAAAAATCTACATCAAAGTAATCAGTTTAATGATTTAGTATCTAATAATATTACTTGAACACACACACACACACACACACACACACACACACACACACACACACACACACACACACACACACACACACACACACACACACACACACACACACACACACACACACACTCTACAATATTTATAGATCTTGGTTGTTGATTAAAAATCTGAGAACTAATTAAAGTTATTAACATTATTATGCATTCATTAATTTCAAAACAATACTAGTTAATAAATCAAATGAAAACTCCTCTTATAAAACAAACAATAGTCCTTTCTAAGGCAAATGTGGGAAAAATATTAAAAAGCCTTTTTTCGAGTGCCTTGGACTGATTTTTGCGGTTTGTTTTGATTTGTTCCCTTACCCAAAGAGCACAGACACATTATTTAAGCCATTATTCAAGCTTATTATTAAAGCTATTATTTAAATTTGGCATTTAATCATAAGTAATAGTTTTACACAGAAAATAAATGACAGAACAATGAATAAATACAAACAAGAATAAAATAAAACGTGTATTTGTCTAATTTAAATGTAAGCCACACATTAGCTAAGCATTTCCCTTTTAAAGAGAACAAACGTAGTGAAAGACTGCTGAACCACTGTCTGAAATGCACTTTTGATCAACTGTATTATGAACTTGTTTGGTATTTTCCTTTTGTATTTTTTTTCCTTCGGAGTGAGTAGAAATGTGTATATTCAATACAAAGTAGTATTGACTTCTAATACTGTGCTCAGACATTTATTATTGAAATAATGTCACAGGTAGTTGGTAGATCTGTGTAAAAAAAGGCCTGCCGCCACAGCTGGAAAAAATCCTAGAGGAAACACTGTCTGGATTAATCAGTCATTTGATCAGCTGTAGTTAAAAATTACGAGTTTTTCTCCTTTAAGGGGTTAATATGGTGTCTCTGTCACCATCTTGTGGATAAACAACATCCACCGTCTTTTCTCTGCTCAATGACAGGATGATGCCCGCCGATGCGCTGTCTCTCCAAATATATAGATATTTCAAATAGGCACTATCCTTACAAATAAACTGCATAGTTGCAATCTAAAAACTACAAACTTGCCTAAAAAAAAACTTACTCTATAGATCAATCCGATGTGGAGTAAAAGCTTATAAATTTATTTTTTCTACTGCACTTAAGTTATACGTGACACTAAAAGTGCCCGGAAGAAAAACAAAGTCATTTTCAAAAAGTCTATTCTTGAAGCATGCAAAGACAACTTCCTGTTCATGCAGCCAATATAAAGTAAACTCTGTCTTAAATGTTTTTAAACTGCTTTTGCTTGACTTTTATTAGCCTTAAACAGTTACAGTAGTTCCTTTACTAGACAAATGGTTCACCTCAAGTTTGACATTTGTGAGAATTTGTGAGTAAATCTGAATGTGGTTGATGCTGTTTTCTCAAAGCAAAAACCTGCTGTAAAGCAGCCAATAGCTGGTTTCTGTAAAGCCATCTTCCCTCAGAAACCACACGAGACATATCTCAACACAATTAGGTTAAATCTAGAGTCGAGACAAGATGGGATTAATGTGTCTGATAAATGTTCCAGCAATATGCAGCTTCTGTACCTGTAAACACTCATTGTTGCATGTGAACTCTAAAATGCATCCATGCAAACACTGCATAATAAAGATTATATATGAACCACAAAGAAAAGCATGACAAAGAAAATAACCAAAAATTAACTGGCTGCAAGAATTATTGATTGTATTTTATTTAGTTTGACAAAACAAATATGCATTGTAACCATGATCTACTGAATATGCAAAAACAAGCATGAATGCAAGCATTGTTGCTTTGCATGAAATAAGCATTTCAACTGATGCGAGCGATTAAACTTTTTTTGTGAGAGTATGAACATTAATTTTAACATGTTTGAGGTTTCAAAAAGTCTCTTAGAGGGTTTTATATCAAAGATCAAGACCAATTTCTTTGTTAATGTTTGTGCAATACATGTCTCAGCCATTTATGTATTTAGTAAATTAGATGTAATTTATTATTATAACTAAACATACTTAAGTTTTCAGCGTTTTGAGGGATATTTAGTATATTCAGACCAACAGTACCTCTGATTAGCTATTTCAGACATTAATGTATGCCAAACTATGCAAATTATGTATCTAGTTTGATTTTACTTTTAAATGTAGATACACATGTAGATATGTAGATGTAGATACAAACACCTCTATTACGAAAAAATCTAGTGAATAATTACAATGTGTGTGTGTGTGTGTGTGTGTGCGAATGTATACTGTATACCTGGTTGTTACAAAACCATGTACTGTACACATCTTATAAGATTGAATCATTCACTGATTCATTCAAGTCAGCTGATACAATCAGGTACTTAGTCACTTTTTTAAATTACTCAAATGAATGAATCACTAACAGATTCCTTCAGCTTGGAAAATAGCAACAGTTATCATGTGTTTGAAACTATTTTTAAAACAGCAGTAAAACAGTGCTAAAACATCAACACTGTCAAATTTCGGTCTAAAAATGTAATTTGCTTATTTTTGTAATTTAACTTTATTTTTAAAGTTTTTTTCCCGTTTTATTTGCCAACTGTTGGGTTTGTTCGCATTTGACAACAATTTTGTATTTTTTTTAAAATAGTGTAATGAATTTATAGACATATGGGTTAAAATAAACAAAATATTGTCAAGTAATAATAACAATAACAACAATAATAACAGCACTATATTAATAATAAAAGCCCCATCATTATTTTGATGCTTCATAACTGCAGTTTTACTGTACTGGTGTTTAATCATGAAACACTAATATGCTCAATAAAACTGCATTTGAGGAATTCCATGCAAATGTCAACCTTGCCATGAAAAAAATGACATTTTCAGCAAAATACGGAAACCGTTTCTAGGTGTTTTGTGTAAGCAAATATTTTACAGTACTTTAGAAATACTCAGAAATGTTTTCAAACTATTATATAAGTCACACAAGTGGGAATTTCACATCTGTCACATCCAAAACGAAGAGATGTCACATCCATAACGACACTTCTTCCACATTAATGCAAAAATAATAAATAAAATAAAATCAATTATTTTTGTTTAATAGAGAGCCAACTCTTATCTTTTAATTAGTTGTATTTTTTGGGGTTGGGCAGTTTAATTCACAGAATTCTACAAAGTATGTTTTTACAGTAAATTTTTATACTTTTTGGTCACAACCAAAACGCATATTTATTTCCCTCATTTAAAGTACAAAACTTGTTTACAGATTGATATTTTTCTGATCCCTTAACTCTGTGGTCAGTTTTTCTGGAAAATATAAACAGATGTTTCAATATAATGTTAGCATAAATTTTCTCTGTGAATTTATGTTTTGAGTTTTTACTGCAAATGTCACATCCATAAAGTCATTTATTTTATCAGATCGGTCAAACAGCTAATTTGTGAAATACTACAAGTTTTATTAAGTAATATATGTGTAACTTATATTTAACCATTACAACTGCCTTCAGTGTGACATGATCCTTTAAACATCATTTCAATGTAAAATCTGGTTCAAAGAAAATTTAATTGTAACAATACTGAAAACAGTAGTGTGTCTTAATATTTATGTAAAAACTGCTGACTGATTTGATCATAGAGCTGGGCGATATGGCAAAAAAAATTATCACGATAATTTTTTCATATTAGTCGATAACGATATTTATCACGATAAATGCTAAATCTTTATATCTATCAATTTTCAGCATGCTAATGGCTGTGCAGCTGATTTAACAC